CGTTAGCACGAATTCGCGGCTGATTACCTCAAATCTCCAGAAAGAGGCTTGGAGGTAACCAACCAGTTCTTCCACTAGTTTTAAGTCCTACTGTAAATGATTTGATCCCTCTCACTACTATGAACTAAATTTAAATACAGTTCACTACACTCTATCTATGGACAACATTTACATACAGTTCACTACACTCTCTCTATGGACAATTCGATGCATGAGCTACCTCTAGCAACAGCTCACTGAGTTGTGTAGCAAATGACAGGCTGACCCCTGAAGTTAAGCCATTGGCCGTTATCAGCGTTTCCATTAAATATCTATCTTAGCCAAAGCCAACAATAAACCTATTGTCGTGTGTGACTGTTGTATGTGATGTCGTGTGTGTATGTGTGTGTGAGGTCGTGTATGATTGGTGTGTGTGTGATGTCGTGTGTGTCTATGTGTGTGTGATGTCGTGTATGACTGGTGTGTGTGATGTCGTGTGTGTCTGTGTGTGTGTGATGTCGTGTATGACCGGTGTGTGTGATGTCGTGTGTGTCTCTGTGTGTGTGATATCGTGTATGACCGGTGTGTGTGTGTGTGATGTCGTGTGTGTGATGTCGTGTGTGTGTGTGATGTCGTGTGTGACTGGTGTGTGTGATGTCGTGTATGACTGGTGTGTGTGTGGTGTCGTGTGTGTGTGTGTGTGTGTGATGTCGTATATGACTGATGTGTGTGATATCGTGNGTGTGTTGTCGTGTGTGTGATGTCGTGTGTGTCTGTGTGTGTGTGATGTCGTGTGTGTCTGTGTGTGTGTGATGTCGTGTATGACTGGTGTGTGTGTGATGTCGTGTGTGTCTGTGTGTGTGATGTCGTGTATGACTGGTGTGTGTGTGATGTCATGTATGTCTGGTGTGTGTGATGTCGTGTATGACTGATGTGTGTGTGTGTGATTTCGTGTGTGTCTGTGTGTGTGTGATGTCGTGTATGACTGGTGTGTGTGATGTCGTGTGTGTGTGTGATGTTGTGTATGACGTGTGTGTGTGTGATGTCGTGTGTGTCTCTGTGTGTGTGATGTCGTTTATGACTGGTGTGTGTGTGTGATGTCGTGTGTGTCTGTGTGTGTGTGTCGTGTATGACTGGTGTGTGTGATATCGTGTGTGTCTGTGTGTGTGATTTCGTGTATGACTGGTGTGTGTGTGATGTCGTGTGTGTCTGTGTGTGTGTGATCTACTGTAATCAAAGATTTGTCTAATATAACCAACCATTTCTTTTGCAATCAAAGATGTAGCTAATATAATCACAGTTTTATCTAATAAAATCAAATATTTATCTTTTGTAATCAAATATTTATCTTTTGTAATCAAAGATTTATCTACTGGACTAAAATATCTACTGTAATCAGAGTGCGTATCTTGCTAACATCTCGCTCACTAAATAGATTTGTGTGTGTGTGTGGTGGGGGGGGGTATCAGCACCACTGTTGTTATCTGAGGGCACTGAGGATATCGCAAACATTCGAATAAAACATCTGTAGATTCTGGAAATATGTCCATAAAGTGATATCCTCTCCGTGTCTAATGCTATTCCTAACTGGCGACCACATCCCCCATTACTGCATTTACTGGGAGTCACATACTCCCACATACTCCCACATACTCCCACATACTCCCACATACTCCCACATACTCCCACTTATGCCACACTATCTATGTTGAAATGTTGTCATAAGGCTGTACGCTCGTTTATAGATTGCACGATTAAAAAAAGTGGTGTCCGGACGTTAAGGTGTTATATCAGGATACTAGCCAACATGCCCGGCTTTACTAGGGTTTATTGGAATTCTTGATTCGAACCGTGGGTTAATATGATGGGTTCAAAACTCTCCTTTTTCAAATACATATTTTAAAGTTCATTTGTACCAGTTTGGTCTAGATCTATCTACTTATTATAACTTTATTTATATAGCTCATTAAAAAAATAGATAAATCTTGCCCCCCCCCCCCCAACGCTGAAAGCGATACTAAAGAAAAAATCCAAACACGTCAACATTTTTTTCTGGATAATGACGTGAAACAACTCTGTATCAACCATTGATCACCTGGATAATGACGTAAAACAACTCTGTATCAAATTTTTTAAACACCTTAAAAAAAAAAAAAAATTTTCCCCCCCCCCCCCCAACGCTGAAAGCGATACTAAAGAAAAAATCCAAACACGTCAACATTTTTTTCTGGATATTGAAGTGAAACAACTCTGTATCAACCATTGATCACCTGGATAATGACGTGAAACAGCTCTGTATCAACCATCGATCACCTGGATAGTTACGTGAAACAACTCTGTATCAACCATTGATCACCTGGATAATGACGTGAAACAACTCTGTATCAACCATTGATCACCTGGATAATGACGTAAAACAACTCTGTATCAACCATTGATCAACATCCAATAATCCGTGTAGTGACGTACATACATATTTTTCTTGCATTTAGCAGATACAAATAGTTATATCTGAGAGTTATTAAAAAAAAAATGAACATTTGAAATCTTATTCATAGATCTATTTTTGTTGTTGTTGGATTTAAGACGTAATAATGATTGACAGTCAACATTTACACATCGATGAATACCAGTATGACGTTAAATGGTTTCTTATTTTTCAGAGCCTTGCACCGTTTTTAACTGTAACACTTCCGTAACGACATTACTCACACCAGTAGCACACGACATCACACACAAGTAAAAAAATAATTATAGACAGAAACTTATTGTATGTCGCATTTAAGAAGCTTATAATGAAGGTACACCATCTAAATAAATGTATGTATGAAGTTAAATCTTACTACGGACTGAAATGGCTACGTGTCTGGCACACTGTGCCTTTGAGAAATTATTAAAATCTTCACACCCCCCCCCCCCCTTTTTTTTTATACTAAGTAATGCACTATAGTTTCTTCAAATAATACATCACATATTTCCGTATATTTAAAGAATAGGATTGCACTGAACAGCTAATCATTTGACTAGGATTGCACTGAACAGCTAATCATTTGACTAGGATTGCACTGAACAGCTGATCATTAGACTAGGATTGCACTGAACAGCTGATCATTTGATTAGGATTGCACTGAACATCTGATCATTTGCCTAGGATTGCACTGAACAGCTGATCTTTTGTTGAAAGGTAGTCACACCAAGCTTTGGATATTAGATGACTTTCATAAATGTTCATGAACATTTACAATATTACGTAATCATATTGTATCTAATAGAGAATTAATGCAATTCAACAGTATTGGAATGCAATTAGTAAAGTAATTCAGCTTTATAAATGGACGGTTCAATGGACAGTTCAATAGACAGTTCACTGAACAGTTCAATCGTTAGTTTATTGGACAATTCAAAGGACATTTTAATGGAAAATTTGATTGATTTGATATTTATATCGCGCCGGTATCCATGCCATTTTAGCATGCTCACTGCGATCTGATCCTCCGAAATCTGTTTAAACAAAATAGTTTTTAATTGTTTCTTAAATGATTTTTTATCAGTTACAATTCCCATCAAAGATTGAGGCATACTGTTCCATAATTTGGTGCTAAATTCAATAAACATTAAAAAAAACAACAACAAAAAAGTGTGAATATTTAAATGGAATATTTATTTTAACTTTTTTCCTCAACAAATAACAGTAAAAAAATTGTTTTCATGAATATTGAAAGCATTTATTTTAATTATTGAATAGTAGCTGAATCGATTTACACACCATTCAAACACGACATCACGCAAACCAGTCACACAAGACATCACGCACACCAGTCACACACGACATCACTAACACCATTCACACACGACATAATGCACACCAGTCACACACCACATCACGCACACCAGTCACATACAACATCACGCACACCAGTCACATACGACATCACGCACACCAGTCACATACGAAATCACGCACACCAGTCACATACGACATCACGCACACCAGTCACATACGACATCCCTCACACCAGTCACACACGACATTACTCACACCAGTCATACACGACATTACTCACACCAGTCATAAACGACATTACTCACACCAGTCATACACGACATTACTCACACCATTCACACACGACATCACGCACACCAGTCACACACGACATTACTCACACCATTCACACATGACATTACTCACACCAGTCACACACGACATTACTCACACCAGTCATACACGACATTACTCACACAATTCACACACAACATCCCTCACACCAGTCACACACGACATTACTCACACCCTTCACACACTACATCACTCACACCAGTCACACACGACATTACTCACACCATTCACACCCGACATTACTCACACCAGTCACACACGACACTACTCACACCAGTCATACACGACATTACTCACACCATTCACACAGGACAACACTCACACCAGTCACACACGACATTACTCACACCATTCACACACGACATCACTCACACCATTCTCACTCGACATCACACTCAAACAGATACACACGACATCACACACACACACAGACACACAGGACATCACACACACGAATCACATACGACACCACACACACCAGTCATACACGACATCACTCACTCCAGTCACACACGACATCACTCACACCAGTCACACACGACATTACTCACACCATTCACACACGACATCACTCACACCATTCACACACGACATCACACTCACATAGATACACACGACATCACACACACACACAGATACACACGACATCACACTTACAAATCACATACGACATCACACACACCAGTCATACACGACATCACTCACTCCAGTCACACACGACATCACTCACTCCAGTCACACACGACATCACGCAATCCAGTCACACACGACATCACTCACACCATTTTACAAAAGTTAATATTTGTAATCTGTTATTTAACCCCAGGGACGGACAACTCATTTAGTTTAACTCTTTCAATATATCTAATTACGCCAACGTTAACAACCCCCCCCCCCCCCAATTCCCCACTTGTCAATTTGAAAGAAATAAAATTGAAATTACTATGTGAATTCAAAATGGTTAATTGAACCCATTTATAAGGAGAATACAATTAATATAAAAAAAAGTTTTTAAAAAATGCGAAAAAAATAAAATGAATAAAACTCTATTACAAGTGACCAACCCACTACAAACCACAACACGTTGGGTAATTTTCTCTAATACACTAGTTAAGAAGCAGTTTTGGCAGAGCAAAGATTTGTTAATAATGGACGCACTTTTTATATAATTTTTAGTTCTTTCTCTTGAGCCTTAATTACCCCCAGCATTTTCATTGTTATCCCCCTTCGAGTACTTTATCCATGTTCGCTGATCCGAGCTCGCTGACCCCTGTTTACAAACCGTTATTCGCTGACCCCTGTTCACTGACCCTTGTTCGCCAACTCCTGTTCACTGACCGATGTTGACCGACCTCTGTTCTCTGACCCCTGTTCTCTGACCCCTGTTAGCCGATCCCTGTTCGCCGACCCCTGGCGTCTTTTCTACCCCATCAACAAGTTCCCAGGTTTAGCAGCAATGGCTTGCACCACCCTCATCCAATTTTCATCTTGCTTCCAGTGTCAGCCATGTTGTTTTCTTTTAAATCTGCCTCCGTCTCGCCGGATATGTGTTTCCGGAAAAGTGCATCAGTCCCATGCAGACGATCAAGTAATCCAATGACTCCATAGTTTGTATTGAATCTTAGGAAATGGTGAGGAAAGACATATGTCAGGTATGGACTCGGTTAAGACACTATTATTGTATGTAATTACATAAAAAGATATGGAGGAAATTATCCAGTGTAAGAAAGAGTAGATCAATTCAATTACAATCAGTGGTAAGAAATAATAAAATGAAATCAGTCATCACTGAACGCTTAGATTTTTTTGTTTTAAAAATATAAATTAACACTTTATAGTATCCTAAGGATTGAACGATTGAGAAGCACTAATGTTGCCTTTAAATGGATATAAGGTCTGGGTGGCGGTTAAAACTCATGCCGATGAATTTAGCTACGCGGCCCTTAGAAAGCCGCTCCTAGGCGACCGTTTCGTCCCAGCTTCCGTCCCGACCGAAAGACTCCCTGGGGTGGTAACGCAACACCTTTTCCCCGGAGTGGAAGCAAAAGCCGTGCTGACCCGACGGGAGAGTGGACCGCGAGCGCTTTAAACGCAGCGTTTTCGGTCGACCGGATGTCCCCTAGGGCAGGAGTGGAGGTTTCCGGTGTGATTCCGCACTGTCTAGTGGCGGAAAACCCGGCGTCTGTCCCGTGTGGTGGCGTGCCCGGGGGGGGGATATTTAGAGCTCACGCTTGACGACCCACCGATGCCATTTCCCAATGTGACGTAATTAGAAGCCCTAATTCGGTTGATATCTTACTAAATGACGTTTTTAAATCCTTTATGTTAACTTCGCTTTTGTTCGTGTGTTTAAGGCAAACATCTTCGGATGGCTTATTGACCCAATGCCCGTCATCCTATCGAACTGAAACTTGGAACGTAGATTCGTTGCCGATGACAACACATTCTTTCAAATTTTCAGCCCCAACCCACAAAAATCAGATTTCATGTCTTTCAAGGGGAAAATGAAGAAAATATGATGCGAATGATTTCAAAAAATAAAATTCCTGATAACTGCACTAAATGGGATTCTTTAGAAAAAAAATAATATCGCCAGTGATTTTAGTGCGTTATATTTTCAATTGTTTTTCTGAAGTTGTTGTTGAAATAACTTTGTGGTGGAAAAGCGAGTGGGACATTAGAATATGAATATAAAACAAAATAATAACTACTGAATATAAAGTATTTCTGCGAAAAACCCTTTAATTATGTTTTTAAAAATCTCTTTGAAAAAAAAAAACCCTGTATATTTTGTTCTTTGAGGGAGTCAGCAATTTTTGAAGTTAAAAGTCTAAACCCTAAACAATATTCAGGTTAATAAATTATCAGAGCTTAATTATGAGCTGTTACAAAATAAAGAAAAACAACATATTTCACTGTTAAATAAATAACAATACAATTAACAACATAACTAACGAAGTAATTAACAGCGGGTCTCAAACAAAGGATCCGACAATTACTTTAAGTGATGGTAGTCATGGAAATCTGGAGACAAGAACCATGGAAGCCGGTAACCCCCGTGGTCAATCGTGGTGGACAAGATGGCCACACCCCACCACAGCCAGGCCGTGGCCATGTGGGATCCCATCAGGATGGGGCCCAGGGCCGGCGGCAGCAAGTTGGCGAAGATATGCTCCACTGGGTGGGCGTAGATGGACACGATGCCTATAGGTGCCGTCCACTCGTGGTGCTTCTTGTGGATGTGTTTGTAAAGTCGTGGATGGTGGAGCATTCTGTGGATATGCCAAGTTAGATTGTCTTAACATGGTCTTTGTAAAGTCGTGTATGGTGGAGTGGTCTGTGGAGAGGTAACGTTAGAAGGTCTTAACGTGGTGTTTGTAAGACCTTGTGTAAAGACGCATATTTTGAAACGTGACACACCCGCTTAATCTTAAGACCTGTCTGTATCTCCAACTGTTAGTCCATGTAGGATCAATGAAGGATAATAAATAGTAGAACAAGGAGGAAGCTTGAAATAGAAAGACAGGACTATAAAAAAACACAAAAAAACGTATGGGCGAAGACCCGTCCTCAGCAGACAGTACAGATGAAGAAATAAAAAGAAATAGAAAATATTTTTAAAAACTTAAGTGTTCGCCATATTCTGGAATTGTTTTATTAACATAAATGGTCTCGTTAAGTTGTCGTTCTCTTCGATTTCTGTTTTTTTTTCCATTTCAATTCAGTTTACTCAGAGCCCTTAACTTCAACTCTTCCTTGAACTGCACATAAGTGGATAACTACTCTAGCAACAGAGGCACTCATGGTATGTTACAATGATTGTATGTTACATCGACCGTCTGTAACGCCGATGGTATGTTACAATGATGATATGTTACACTGTCTGGTACGAGCTACCTGTGCGCATAGTAGAAGCTTATCTCCTCGACAAAGACAAACACTGCCATCTCAAGCAGAGCTTGTGTGGCTGTGGGTAGTTCTTCCGGAGACCAGGAACAGCCACGCCGTTTCATCATGATGTGCAGGCCACAGAGAAAGGGAACTCCCACGATAGTTTGGTTGAATACGGCCACCTTGACCGCTCGCCACAAGTCGGTGTGAGTTAGCTGTAGGAGGAGAGGGAGAAGAGTAATTGATGTGATGGAAATGTTCACTTCATGTCTGCACGTTTGGTTAAACCTACATTGTTTGAATGGAAATTATACTGATATTGTTAGTAACACATATCTACATAATCTATGAATCGAGTATCCATCCAATTTTATAGAATCTCATCGTGTATGGTCGAGGCTTGTAATAACGTCAATATTTGACCGAGTTTCTAATACCACATCTGTCATATTCGTGGTTTATCATAAGGCACATATTTGATTATGTCCACCTACACACTATTGAAATATCCTCTGTCAGTGCAAGCGGAATAAGGGCAAGGAATTTTTTCTTCCTCTTTTTAGTCAACAAGATCTGAAGACGACGTCACGTTAAGTTTTCGCACCTCAAAAAATGCGCTCCCAAATAAGGCAAATGGGGGGTCTCGCTGAGAAACCGGAAGTGTCATCTAAAGAAACCGGGAAGTGTTTTAAAAACATGAACCGTGTAAGTGAAGTACAATGGACCTTTTTAAATACAACATCAGAGTGGAGAGCTCTTGAAGGCGACTTTAAAATATTACTCACGCTCTTTTGGCTTAATGTTACTCAAATTATAATTTTAGACCATAAATGTTTATCATGTAACCATGTTTTTCTCTTCCTTATTATTATTAAGAAAACTTCATTATAAAATATTTTTTAAAGTGTAGTTTATTTTTTAAAAAAAGGCAATTTTTTTCCCCGTAATGAAAACAACCACACACTTTCAGATGAAGAAATCATGGGTGGATCCATGATACGGTCTGCAGCACCGATTTGGAAATTCGCGCATTTATTTACAGGAGTGGGTTTTAGAGGGAGAGGAGGAGGAGGAGGGGGGAGGAAGGGGGAGGAGGGGGCAGGTTCGTGGAGTGTCATAATTCATTTTAAACTCATTTACTTGAGGCATGTGCTCAGCGGCGACATTCCTTGGGCCGTGGCCTAGATTCATATCTAATTCCGCTAAATTGAAAGAGCTTAGGATTTTTAAAAAAGAAATACACTTAAGAGGTTTAAGTATGCGATCATCGAATGTCTTGTATAGATTTCTGCTCAATGCAGAACTAGACTCAACGTAAAAACGGCTCCAGTGGGCGTGGGCGCCCGCAGAAAACTTTCTAGAGGGCGGGGGCAAAAAAATCGATTAAATTTCTAGGGGGGGGGGGGAAATTGTTAGTAATGTTTTAATGTAGTTTTAATTTACTGTAGCGTATTTGTATGGTGAACGAACGGACAGGACATCAGCTTAGTTACTTTCTCTTTATTTTCTCTTTACTTTAACTCATTTTTTGTCTATTTTTGTCTAAAAATTTTTTTTCCAATCAATCGGGGGGGGGGGGCAGGCAAATGCCACCCCTTGCCCCCCCCTTCCGGCGGGCGCCCATGCAAGTGGGTGTTTTAAGGTTAAGTAAAAACGAGACATAAAGTCTAGAAAAAAAAAAAGAAAAAAAAAAAAAAATTTACCCTTCCGGCGGGCGCCCATGCAAGTGGGTGTTTTAAGGTTAAGTAATAACGAGTAATAAAGTCTAAAAAAAAAAAAAAGCAAAAAAAAAAAATATTTTCTAAGTGTTGCCAAACTCACGGGGCAATTCTTGTCAGGTTGAATCTTGTACCTCAGAATGGCGGCCGGTCGTCCGGTCAAGTCCAGCACCGTCAAAAACAGGTTGAGTGACCAGAAAATTCCCATCGTATAAATTGTTGACCCTTTGAAGAAAAAAAAAATTGTCTTCGTAGAAACAACTTTCAAAAAAAAGAAGATGATAAGAATTTTAATTCAGTTTCATGTTTTATTTCCAGCAAGGTGTTCCCAACAGAGGTAATCAAAACTTAATGGACAGAAAAAAGATAGAACAGGGGGGGGTGGGGGGTGGGGAATGTCCTCAGACAAACTAGAACTGAAAACGTGTAGCAGCTATGAATAAATAAACACTCTTAAAAACTTTCTAACAAAATATATTATCCTGCAACATGATGTCTTCCCCCCCCCCTCTTCCCCCTCTCCCCCCCCCTAATCTCCCCAATGTTAATCCCAATAGGCTTTAGAACAAACAACACCATTTTATTACCTCAGTTAAATAAATTACAAGAGTTTAAACAAAAAAAAATTACGTATTTCTTTTAGAGTCTTAAAACTCATTCTATCTTGACCCTAAGAATGGAGAGAAGTTTTTTAAGACACCGTTCACATTAAACACTGGCGTACGAATAATGGAGGTGAGGGCGGCGGTCGACTCCTGACGCTACTTCTTTCTATATATTGAGGGGTGGCAACTTCCACCAAATTCGGAGGTTTTAGGTGGAGGATTTGGGGGGCTGGGGGGGTGGAAGGCATCGAAAACCTTGGCCCAACCTGGGTGGCCCTTACCCAAGCCACGCCTCTTGAAGAAAAATGCCGAGACCGTTGTTTGAGCTCAAGTCATTTAAATATTCTATGAGGTGCGTCTGCTAAGAACCATGTCTTAAACACTGCAGACCGAGAGAATTGAAACTGCCATAATGGCCCGAGTCGTTAGAAAATAAGTTTGTATTATCTGATCAAAAGAATGTTGCCGATCTAGATCATTTTCTCAATTTTCTTTTTGATCACCAACTCAGATTCAATCGTAGCGCAGGATACTGAATTGTCTGCAATTGGATTAAATGTACACTACGTTCACTTATAAGTTCTTTGATTTGTTTTAGAACTTAGTATTGATCCAATTCAGGTAATGTAGATCTTATTTATTTAGGGGCACGAAGGGTGAGTCTAAAAATGATCTAACTGAATTGAATTGATTTGAATTTGGTTAGAGATATTCTGTTTAGAATAATTAAGCGAAGCTTCAGTGTCCACTTGTGGCCAGGGTCAACTGAGCCATTAGTGTTCATATGTTGCCAGGGTCCACGGTAAGCTAATCAAGGCATTTTAATATGACTATCTCATTTAGTTGTTCCATTTCTTTAAAAAAATACGAGTTGAAAAGATGGAGCACGTCCAAATAGTCTGGGGATTCCCCCATGGTAAGATAAATCCAACAACACTAGCTAAGATAAATGTGTTCCTGTTAAATCGTAGTCATTTGTCCAGAACACAGCTAACATTTGTTTGGCCCCCACCAAGAGGAGAGACCGGAGGCACCAGCAGATGTTCAACATCAGCCCACCTACAATGGACACCAGGGATTCATCTTGATGAAAATATGCCAACACGGCGACCCACAGACGCTGGCAGACAAGCGCGGAGTTACTCCAGAACTGGTCCGTACATCTGGGGAATCAAATAGCACATCTCAGACGTTTGAAACTTTAGTTATGCCATGCTGTTGTATAGTGTAAAATAAATACAAACTTTAGGTCGACTTTACAGTTTAAAAAAAAGTATCAATGGATTGGAATTTTTATATAACAACATTTTAAAAAAAAACCATTACGGTACCAAACTTTTTCAATGAAAATAATCTTTTTAGCGTTGTTAATTTTGTCTAGATCGAAAAATATATTGTAGAGACGCAAGTATTCAAGCCAAGAATATATAAATTGTAAATCTATTTAATGTTTGTCTATACTTTGTGTCCAGATATTTCAATGTCATCTACTCACCGGTGCAAGGAGTTTCCAGCTAAGTAGTTTAACAACAAGGAAACAACGACAATGGCACTAATCCCTTTTACTTTGACCACAAGCTGACTGATTCTGTCTACGGCCATGTTCCCTTGATCGTTAGGAGAAAACCTCAACTTATCAGTCCCGGTGATTGAGGTAGTACAAAATTGGGATCGAATGTTCACAGTTCATGACGATGAAGAAGTCTGAACGTGTGGCAGCCGTAACACTTGTACATGACTATTGTACACATGTGTACACCGATCAAAACTAATTAAACGGGAAACTATTTACGTGACAAATCCGATTTCAATTATCTGCTATAGGGCATGGTGATGAGAGGTTTAGATCAATGCATTGTTTGATATGATATCGATAGCATTATTTTATCCAAGGCCAAGTATTTTCCTTATATAGATGTGCTAGAAACGCGATACGCTGAGATAAAAAGTAGGTCACTGTGGCTAGACACATTGATTTTAGGTTACAAGTAGGTCAGTGGATCTGGACACATTACTATTATTTTACAAGTAGGTCAGTGGATGTGGACACATTGATTATGTGGTTGCAAGTACGTCATTGGATCTGGAGACATTGATCTTAGGTTACAAGGAGTTCAATGGATCTGGACACAATAATACTAGTTTACAAGTAGGTCAGTGGATCTGGACACACTATTATTAGTTTACAAGTAGGTCAGTGGATCTGAACACACTGGTTTTTAATTACAATTTAACTTACAACACTCTATAATATTGACACAAACTAAGACAGTCTCTGTCACGCATAATAATGACACAATCTGACTTTGACAGAATCGGTCACTTAAAGGCAAACATTACGCCAAAATAAACAGAAACATAAACTTTTTACAAAAGACAGTATTTTATGTTTTGTAAAAATTGCCTTTAATCATTTGAAAATATTAAATTGTTGTTTTGACATTGACGTACTGATCATAACTGGCAATAATCTATCATATGTTGGTTTTTTTTTTTTTGGTGAGGAATGGATCTGGGGGAAAGAAACGTAAGAACCGCTGGATGAAAACTGTGACAATGTAGACATACTTAAGCCCGACACAATGACATCTCTGGACACTGGAGGCATTTCTAATCTAAACAGCACACGTTGACTCGGCCACACCCCCCACTGAGTTTGTTGTAATAGTCAGGAATGATCTCCCTCTATCTGATGACATCAGATCATTGGCGTATGCAACTCTCGGGAAGTTCTCGTGACATCATGTCAGAGACGAGGACTGACCATGAAAATAATCTGTTTGGTGTGGTTTTTTTTTTTTTGCTTCACGGCCAGGGCTTCTTATGAAGGTCATCTCTAACAGCCGCCTCAAGTGTATAATTGACAAGTGCAATTACTTAATTGTTGTATCATTGACAAGTGTAATTACTTAATTGTTGTATCATTGATACAAGCAATGACCTTATTGTTGTGTCATTGACACATATAATGACCTAATTGTTATTTCATTGACCCTGGTAATGACCTAATTGTTGTTTCATTGACACGTGTAATGTCCTAATTGTTGTACCATTTGCCCCCCGCGATATCACGCCCACCAGGCACACACGACATCACGCCCAACAGTCACAGACGACATCACGCCCACCAGTCACAGATGTCATCACTTCCACAAGTCACACACGACATCACACACACCAGTAACACACGACATCACTCCCACAAGTAACACACGACATCACTCCCACCAGTCACACACGACATCACTGCCACCAGTCACACACGACATCACTCCCACCAGTAACACACGACATCACTCCCACCAGTAACACACGACATCACTCCCACCAGTCACACACGACATCACTCCAACCAGTCACACACGACATCACTCCCACCAGTCACACACGACATCACGCCCACCAGTCACAGACGACATCACTCCCACCAGTCACACACGACAACAGACGACATCACGCCCACCAGTCACAGACGACATCACTTCCACAAGTCACACACGACATCACACACACCAGTAACACACGACATCACGCCCACCAGTAACACACGACATCACGCCCACCAGTCACACACGACATCACTGCCACCAGTCACACACGACATCACTCCCACCAGTAACACACGACATCACTCCCACCAGTAACACACGACATCACTCCCACCAGTCACAGACGACATCACTCTAACCAGTAACACACGACATCACTCCCACCAGTCATACACGACATCACTCCCACCAGTAACACACGACATCACTCCCACCAGTAACTCACGACATCACACCCACCAGTCATACACGACATCACGCCCACCAGACACAGACGTCATCACTCTAACTAGTCACTCACAACATCAAGCCCACCAGTCACATGTGACATCACGCCCATGAGTCACAGACGACATCATGCCCACCAGTTACACGTGACATCACGCCCACCAGTTACAGATGACATCATTCCCACCAGTCACAAACGACATCACTCCCACCAGTCACAGACGACATCACGCCCATCAGTCATACACGACATCACGCTTACCAGCCATCACGATATCATGCCCACCAGTCACACGTGACATCACGCCCACCAGTCACATGTGACATCACGCCCACCAGTCACACACGACATCACACCCACCAGTCGCACTATAATACCATTGTACAGATACAAGAACATATAGGGACATCACATAGTGCCTTTGTACAGATACAAGTACATATGGGGACATCACGTAGGCCTTTTTACAGATACAAATACATATAGGGACATCACATAGAGCCTTTGTACAGATACAAGTACATATGGGGACATCACGTAGGCCTTTTTACAGATACAAATACATATCGGGACATCACTTTATCGCCATCGAATTGTAGAGATAAATACGCATTGACTGTCGTTATCGGTCAATAATATCATGGAATCTTGTTTAAGGACGCATATGTTGAGACTTGACATCAAGTTGAGCACGTTGTGAACTGCTTATATGTGGACAACTACACCAGCAATAACGGCTAATGATGTTATGTAACACTTATGATATGTTACAATGATATTTGGTAGCGATAACGGTACTCATGGAATGTTACAATAATCGTTTGTAACACTGATGGTATGTTACAATGATGAAATGTAACATTGATGATATGTTACAATGATATGTTCTAGCCATAACGGTACTCATAGAAGGTTCCAATGATTGTACGTTCCAATGATGTTATGTAGCATTGATGATACGTTACAATGATATGTGGTAGCCGTAACGGGAGTCATGGGAAGTTACAATGACTGTCTGTAACACCGATGGTATGTTACAATGATGATATGCTACACTGTTTTGGTACGAGCCACCTGTGCGGATAGTAGAAGCTTATCTCCTCGACAAAGACAAACACTGCCATCTCAAGCAGAGCTTGTGTGGCTGTGGGTAGTTCTTCCGGAGACCAGGAACAGCCACGCCGTTTCATCATGATGTGCAGGCCACAGAGAAAGGGGACTCCCACGATAGTTTGGTTGAATACGGCCACCTTGACCGCTCGCCACAAGTCGGTGCGTGTAAGCTGTAGGAGGAGAGGGAGAAGAGTAATTGAGGTCATGGAAATGTTCATTTTATTCCCTAATATCTATCTACACAAAATGTCTGCACTGTTAGTTAAACTTACATCGTTTGAACGGAAATCATACCGACGTTGTTATAAAACATATCTGCATAATCTATGAATCCAGTATCCGTCCAATGTCATAGATTTAGTGCCGTTGAGTCTTTCTCACGAGACGTCTGTAATATTTGATCGAGTTTCTAATGCAAATTGTGGTATGGTAGAGGCTTGTAATAACACCGATATATGAACGAGTCTCTGATACCATAACTTCTATGGTAGTGGCTTTTTGTACCGAAAATACTTCAAAAGACCGCCAACACGCAACTGCGGACTGACAGGCAAGGACATTTTTTTTTTAGTCAACAAGATCTGAAGACGTCACGTTAAATTTGCGCACCTCAAGACATGCGCTCCAAAATAGGGCTAATGGGGGGTCTCGCTGAGAAACCGGAAGTGCCATCTAAAGAAACCGGGAAGTGTTTTAAAAACATGAACCGTGTAAGTGAAGTACAATGGACCTTTTTAAATACAATGTCAGAGTGGAAAGCTTCTTGAAGGGGCCTCTAAAATATTACCCAAACTCTTTTGGCTAAACGTTCCCCAAATCCTAGCTTTAGACTAGTATTTAATATTGTAATTATTTAACGGGGGTTTTCTATTCCGTATTATTATTTGGAATATTCCTTGAAACAACAAATAGTACCTTATGAGAATTAAGACATTTTCCCCCTTACTGTCAGACCAACTACACATTTGCAGTGGATGGCATCATGGGCGGATCGACGACACGGTCAGCAGCTCCGCTGGTGGTGGTGCATTTATTTACAGGAGTGCATGGATGTGGGAGGTGGAGGAGGGGGCAGTTTTGTGGAGTGTCTCAATTTGTCTTAAACTCATTTGAAACGTTTATCATTTGAAACGTCTAGTTGAGGTATAGTACTCAGCGGCGACATTCCTTGAGCCGTGCCCTAGATTCATATCTAATTAAGCTAAGTTGAAGGAGCTTAGAATTAAAAAAAAAAAAGAAATTCACTTAAGAGGTTTAAGTATGCGATCATCAAATGTCTTGTATAGATTTCTGCTTAACGCAAAACTAGAGTTAACGTCAAACCGGTTGCAGGGGGTGTTTTAAGGTTAGGTTAAATCGAGTCATAGAATCGGGGGGGGGGGGGGACACACATTTTCTGGGCGTTGCCAAACTCACGGGGCGATTCTTGTCCGGTTGAATCTTGTACCTCAGAATGGCGGCCGGTCATCCGGTCAAGTCCAACACCGTAAAAAAACAAACAGGTGAAGTAACCAGAACATGCCCATCGTATACAGAAGTGAGCTTTTGAAAAAAAAACAAAAAAGTCATCGCATCAACAATTTGAAAAAAGATGCTAAGACTTTGAGGGACCTGTACATGTTGGATGTCCAGCAAGAGATGCTAAGACTTTGAGGGACCTGTACATGTTGGATGTCCAGCAAGAGATGCTAAGACTTTGAGGGACCTGTACATGTTGGATGTCCAGCAAGAGATGCTAAGACTTTGAGGGACCTGTACATGTTGGATGTCCAGCAAGAGATGCTAAGACTTTGAGGGACCTGTAAATGTTGGATGTCCAGCAAGAGATGCTAAGACTTTGAGGGACCTGTACATGTTGGATGTCCAGCAAGAGAAGCTAAGACTTTGAGGGACCTGTAAATGTTGGATGTCCAGCAAGAGATGCTAAGACTTTGAGGGACCTGTACATGTTGGATGTCCAGCAAGAGATGCTAAGAC